GGGGTTGGAGCAGGGATTCTCGGAGTGGAACTGTGTTCTAGCTACCAGTTCCTGGCCATCTGCCACCCTCTCCTACTCATCCACACACAGGAACAGCTCAGTGGAACTTCAGAATTAAGAATGAAGACAGGAGGAGGAAACTGCTCACTCCAAAAAACCTTCGCTGACTCTCTACCAACCAGAGGTCGAGTCTAAACTCCATTTAAGGCCTTGTAGGGTCTGACTTGCTACCTGAATTTCCAAACCTTTTCTCTCGCCCCCGGTGCAAGCTCTCTGATGTGGCTCAGCGAGGCTCCTCACTTCTCTGCAGACATACTTTTTGTTATCCCCTTCTCTAAGCTTTGATCCCATAAAGTCCCTGCAGGGAATGCCCCTCCCTGCTGGTCCCCGCACCCATAAATCTCACTCACATGTCCCATTCAAGCCTGATCAGGTTCCAAACCCTAAAGGGCTTCTAAAGAGGAACCTCTCATTTTTCTTTCTTGTCAGCAATATTTGCTACAGGTACATCTCATTTTACATTAATATCGTCAGATACGTTTATATTTAACTTTTTTTTTTCCTTTTTCGGCGGCTGGCACAGGGATCAGAACCTGTGACCTTGGGGTTATAAGATTGTGCTCTAACCAATTGAGCTAACCGGCCAGCCCCGACTTTTCTTTTGTACATGAAATATGAATGGCTCTCACTCATTCCCAGCAAACATCTCCTTATTGTTATGGAGAACACAGAGGTAACAAGACACAGCACCTACCCTCCCTGGCCTTCCTTGACCCTCTCCTACTACACATGTGGACAAGCGTCCAGGGCAGTAGAGGTGGCAGCCCCTTGCTGTGCTGGGCATTTTTGCTTCAATGTTTCGCTTCAGTGCAGGTGGAGGCATGTGGCAGCCACACCTGGAGGCAGCAGCAGCTGGGCTGGAACCATGCTGTGTCACTCTGCAGCCCTGTCACTGTGGAGAAGTCTCTTCCCCAGTGTGATCTTAGGGCTCCTGGTTTATAACGTTGGGGACACCCAGTGATGGTCACCTCCTCCCAGGCTGGTCTGAGTGTGATCACATGGTGCAGAGCAGGCTGGGAACTACCAAGGACTGTGCAGAGGAGATGGTGCTTTGACTGAAAAAGGTGGCCTGGCAAGTGGTGCAAAGGGTCCTGGCCTTGGATTCAGGAAACCAGGGTGGTGACGCTGCTGATGGCACACGCATGTCCCCTTGACATGCCTGAGTTCACCTGACACTGGGGCAGCAGGTCCTCTGCAGGCCTACAGCACCCTCTCCCCAGAAAAGTGTGCACACACACACGCTTGTACACGCACTTGCACACACACACGTGCCTGCACACAGGGCAAGAACAGGGTCACTTCAAGCAAGAGAACATCTGCTTTCATTTCTCTTGGGTCGTGTGGTAACTGCTGTTTTGTTTTTTTTTTCCTTTTTTTGAGACCGGCCGTACCGCACTCAGCCAGTGAGTGCTGTGAGCGCACCGGTCATCCCTATATAGGATTCGAACCCGCGGCGGGAGCGCTCCTGCGCTCCCAGCGCCGCACTCTCCCGAGTGCACCACAGGCCCGGCTCGGAAGGACTGTGTTTTTAATGTTATTCTTGTTTTGTGTTGCTATAACAGAAATACCTGAGACTGGGTAATTTATAAAGAAAAGAGGTTTGTTTGGCTTATGATTCTGGGACAGATGCATCTGGCACGGGCCTCAGGCTGCTTCTACTCGTGGCAGAAAGTGGCAGGCAGTCGGCAGGTACAAGCAGATCTCATGGCGAGAGGAAGCAAGAGAGAGAGAGGAGGTGCCAGGGTCTTTTTAAGCAACGAGCTCTTGCGGGAACTAATAGAGCAAGAACTCACTCATTAATCCTCCCTCCCCCAGGGAGAGCATTAATCTATTCAAGAGGGATCTGCCCCATGACTCAATCAGTTTCCAACACTGCCACATTGGGGGTCAAATTTCCACATGAGTTTTGAAGGGGACAACACATCCAAACTCCATCAACTTCTTAAAAATGTGCCAAACTCTTTTCAAAGTGATTGTTCCGTATCACATTCCCAACAGTAATGAATGAGAGTTCCAGTTCTTCCACATCCTTGCCAACACTTGGTATGGTCAGTCTTTTTAATTTCAGACATTCTAGTGGGTGTGTCATGGTATCACTGTTATTTTAATTTGCCTTTCCCTAGTAACTAATGATGTTATGGTGTTGAGCATCATTCTCTATTATTTGTATTTACTTGACAGCAGTATATCTTTTCTGATCAAAAGTCTATTTAAATCTTTTGCGGGCCAGCCCGGTGGCGCACTGCTACAGTGCGCCGCTTGGGAGCGCGGCGGCGCTCCCGCCGAGGGTTCGGATCCC